GGGTCAGGACTTGGCGTTGGTATGGTGGTAGTAGTATCATGCTGCAGGACTGTAAATGAAGATAAAGGATTTGTTCAAATTTCGTTGAAGTTTAATGTTTTAAACTTGGACACGGTTGGATGTTCCAATAAGACAATAATTTGAAAAAGACATATGAAGAAAACAAAACATTAAACTTCTGGAACGGCCTTGATCTCAGTTCTGTTTAAAAAGTTTACCTGCCAGGAAACTAACCATTTTACATTAGCTGTTGCATTTCAGCTGAGAGGATTGTTGAAACATAAGGCCACAATCATGTTGATGGCGACAAGCAGCATGTGGATTTGAGAGTATTTTTGATGCGGTGTGGTTGCAGGAAGAAATCCACCAGAAAATTCCAAACTAACTCTGATTTTTGTTCTTAAAACACCACAATAGAGTGCAAATGAATCATTATACGCCAGAAATTAATGACATTCGATCCCTTGTTGAATGCATGTCAACCTCTGTCTGGAACTCTAGCTAATGTTACTGTCCATGGCTTGCAGCTGCTCACACGAATGAATGCGAATCATCCACCACATGCAGAGCACTGTGCCTTACTGCGAGTTCACCTCCCAGATCCACAGGCCCTGGCCCTCACATTTTCATCTGTTTCTGCTCGTCCGTCTGCAGCTTCAGGCTTTTCTAATCTCATCTCTAAATATCAGCGTTGCTATCTAGGTTTAGCTGTTTAACTTTAAGCGTCTTTTAAGATCGTCTTTTAATCTGCAATAACTGGGTGGTCTATTCATCCTATCAAGAGCAAGAATACTTTATCTCCCATACACTCTGGTTTTAAATTTTCTGTCCTAATCTCTTTTTCTGCTTTGTTTACCATCCTGCCTTCTGTTGGCCGCACCTGTTCCACTGTCTTTATTTCTGCCCGTTTAGTTCAGTTGAACTCGTGCCGTTTCAGATTTATTTGGACTGTTCAAGATTTCTGGAGATGATAATTTTTTTGGGGGGCTGATTTGAATAGTCAGTTGTTGCTCTATAACCTTTGACCATGCGTTGCATCCTGCAGTCACTTTCAGCCCAGTGGGGAAGCCTGTCGTCTTTGTTTTCAGTAGACTGATAAAATCTGTCTTGAAACATGTTTCCTTAGTTCATATATTGCACTAACGGACACAGGTGGTCCTCTGGCTTTTATTCACCCATCATTCCTTCAAGTCCTGAGAAAAACTCCAATGCAGCCGTTCAGGAGGTCTGAGTTTATTCCAGCCTCCCTTGTCTCTTTCTCTAGGGTATTTATTCTTTAATGATGAGTGTAAAATGTTCTACGAATGTTTCTTTTTTTTTGGAGGGGGGACTGAACAAATGACTGATTTGCTGTTGTGAAGTAAAGTGTGATTTGGAAACGTAAAGGTTAAGCTGTTATGACGCTCTATAATGGCAGAGTTGCATTTATTAACTCTTACCACTAGGGGGCGGGTGATTAAACAGCCCTGGAGCACAACACTCTGAGGAAGATGTTTCATTTTTATATTTTATAATTAGCTTAAATTATTTAATTTTTTAAGAACCTGTTGATTGTTCTCTGAATTTTTGTTTTTTCTTTCTCGCTGCTTATTGTCCTTTGTGTGAAATCATAGGTTTTTGGTTTTGGCTTGAAAGGGGATTGGTGTTTGGATGGATGACAATCGAATAACCATTTTCAAACATGATATCACCCCAGAGATACACAAGAAAGGCTAATAATACTGATCACAGCCTGTCTGATATGCCAACTCCATGTTTTTAAAAGTTAGATGGGAATTATAGTGTTCTTGCACTTCTTTTCTTTAGGAAGTTTGGGGTTGGCATCTAGATACAAATTTCTAAGAGATTAAAATGTTATTCTCCAAGCACCTGTATATTCTTAAAGTTTTATTTGAGAGATTTAGATTTAAATTCTTATTTATAATAATCTTTTATGTGCATGAACTTGCCAAATTAAGGTGATTCGGATTCTCAATAAGAATTTTAGACAGTCAAAATATATTTTTAGCATCTAAAGGAAAAATAATGGTTAGAAACACTTGAATAAATAGTTTTCCCCAATTATCCGATCAATCGACACTAGAGTTTTTGAGTGTGGATAAAGTTTAATAAACCAATAAACCTGTTTAATAATGCATCTTGTCCTTTTGCCTCAACCTGACTTTTCGCACTTTTTATTTGTCATTCCTTATGGTGTGGGCATTTCTGCCTCGGTGTGTTTCTGTTTTTATTTTACCGTGTTGTTGCACTGGCAGCTGTTGTCAACCTGTGCAGAGTGTGAAGGGAAGGTCTGTGAGGTGAGCAACAAACAAACACACAGATGTCCTGCTCACTCAAAGCTAGTTGTGCACACACTGTATTTCAAGAAAGGGAGATGGATGCAGTGCTGCAAATGGAAGAATAATTATTAATAAAACTATTTGCATTGTTCAGTTTGGCTCTTATATTGTGGGGGTTGGGGGGTATACTTTTTTGTATAAGTTTGTATATTTTTTATTTGAGATCAATATTTTTCTTGATCGAAATATTGAATTAATTTATGCGCCTTTTGGCAGATTAGCATTTCTTTTTAATAACATTAATCAAAGGGTATGTAATAAGCTGCCCAATTTAATTCACCAATTGTCAAGCCTGGTGATAAGAACAAGATAGAAAAAATAATTCCTCATAGAAAATAATCGATTTTGCCAAGACAAAACATTTAGCCATAAATTTGCTTGTTGACGACAACAAAAAAGCCCTGAGTTTGGATCAAACTTTCACATCAGTACCTCTTTTTGAATTGAATTGAACATGTATTTATCTAATTAGGGATAAAAATGTCCCCTGGTTATGTGATGGTTCATTAAAAATGCCAACAAATTCAGATTATTACAGTGTATTCTAAACTGTTCTCCAAGCAGAGGTAGATAATCCAGGTACAGATTATCCGCCTCTGACTTTAATTCTCAAGTCAAGAAAGACACCAATAGAGTAAATTTAATGTTTGCAACATTTCGGCAAATAAGACATAACTGAAGCAGCAAATATTTTTTGTTCCATTATTATGTGACAAATTCATCAATGTCTGACAAGTTTAAGCCAAACTATTAAAAACCATTACAGTCAATGGAAAGAGTCTGTGAGCAATCTCTCATATTCTCTTAAAATATAAATTTTTAGTTTGCAAAATCTGGTACTTTTTAATGAGACACTTCACGGTCTAACTTTACCGTCTCTGTAGGAATGTATCCACCTTAAAGACGGTCTGGGCACATGATCCTAAAGCAGAGGAGGCTGTGCTGTTCTGTTCAGAAATGGCACCTTTGGTCAGATTAGTTTTTTTTTTTGTGAGAGCAGCTCACTCCTGGAACACTGCTTCTCCAAACATCAGGAACATTTCAACGCTTCAGCAAATCAGGGAAACTCTGGTTCCAGAATAATCAGACCTACAGTGACAGCGTTGACCTGTGGTCTATTTTTAGCAGTTGATCTGAATCAACTGTTTTATTTTTTTGTATGTGGCCTGCCCTGTTTGTAAACATCAACCTGTCATAGGACTACACAGATGATTATTAGCCTCCGTGGCTAACAATGGCATATTTACATGGGGAGTCATGATGTTGACTAAAGGTACCCTATTATGCAAAATTCACATTATAAACAATGTGTAAAAGTCATATCTGTTCTGAAGCCTGTGTAGGAGATTCAAAAATGGAAGAAAAAAAAACTTTAACCTCTATTATTGCCTTTCTCCACCTCTTAGCTAATGTGTGCTCAAAATGGCATGTTTGAGAAATCATTCCCTTTATGATGGCATTAGGGGAAATGGAATGTCTAGGCTCTGGCATTCCTCTTATGTATTATACCACCAAAGGCTACCTTTACAGACTGACTGGTTGTCATGGATGCAGGTTCTTGGGGCATGGCCTTTGATAGAATGGGGGTGTGGAAAGCCAATACTTTAATTTTAACCGAACTTTATTGATCTCACAGTGGAGAAATTTGTCTTGCTCAGACAGCCAGAGTTGTAGTCCTTGGGAGTGGGGCTCGAACTCAGAACCTCAGGATTCCTAGCTCTATGCCCTAACCACTAGACCACCACCACTCAAAAAAAGCAGGGAATCCAGAGGAGGATATTTCTTTCGTAAAGGCTGCCTGCTTAATCTGAGAGGAATTTTCTTTCACAAACAACAAAAAAACATGCGCTGTGTGCCTCATTGTTAATATATTTTGTTTTCAAATGTAGAATAATGTGGGACATTTCATATGCACCGTGCTATCTCAAATAAATAAATATATATACCTATAAGACCTGATAATATTCAGTTTCTATTAAAAGAAAATACCTCCATTTCAAAACCGTATTGTATTCTTTTTACAAGACTGAGAAGCAATTACATTGTTTTTCGTACGGTATATTAAATATATAGGCTACTCAGTTCTTTGTAAGATCTTAGAGTATTTTTTATCTTCTCTGTTATTGAATCAGAGAGCTGCCCTTCACTTCATCCATAGTTTTGTGTCTGTTTGATAGGTTTGCTTTCTCTTCATATTACCTATGAAGAGAAAGCAATTAATGTGTATTTCTCCCCTTCATCAATAGAGGTCCCACTTTCCCTAACTTAAAACCTTTGATTTTCCTCTCTAGAGAAAGACTTTCAGGGGGACAAAAATATCCTGTATATTGTTTTGAAGAATTAGCCATTTCCTTTCAAATTCACACTTAGTCAGCACTGTTTTTCCGCTGAAGATATTTGCGGTTTGGTCCTCCTGATACATCATCTGTTAATGTTGAAAAACAACATCTGTCCTAACTTGTGAGGACAGCAGCTGCGTCTCAGCTGACCTCAGTGAACCACAGCCATGACTGTTTGTTTCTGAGAAGTCAGAGCTGTTTTATAGCTCTAGATTTTAAACCATATGGTTTCTGTTCGTCGTTACTTTAACTCCATTGGCTGAAAACCAGGTGGGTGGATCAAAAGTCAAAGCAAATATCAATCCAACCTTTGCCAGCCTCT